CTCACTCGACTGTACCTGGCGTTCTTGCACTCATTCCTGATGAAATCGTGTGCGTTCCTGCTGCTCAATGGCAGATCTTCAAGGATCGCATCTCGGAATTGTGTGGATACAAATGGGCTCACAAACGCGAGACTGTGAATGGCACCAGACGCTCTGCCACGCAATGTCAAAAATTACAATAACCATCCGTATCCACGAAACAACATCCTTCGCACTTGTATAACTCTTGTAAAACCTTCTTTGTTATCTTTCTTATATAACGGTCATCATACTTTATTTTCATCCAATCCACATCAACACAAAAGGAAAGAAACCCGTCAGTTATCCTTCCAGCTATCTACAGCTCATTTATCCATCAAGACCGGCGATGTTAATGTTGGTATATGCAAAAGGAGCAAAGTAATCGCGTCAGGTTGTATGTTTTGCAAGCCAATGGCGGATCAGCGTCATGTTGTATATAATTGTGTTTGAGTAATGGAGAAAAAGATTGTTGCGTCGTTGTTGTTGTGAGTACGAATCGATTATGCGAGTCGAAGACGATGTTGTATTACGCACGTAAGTTTTAAGTTGGAATGGTGCAAGATGGTGCATCAAGTATATACAGAGAAAAAGAGAAAGAAACAGTAATTCTGAATGAGCATATGTCCACTAAAGCTATACCCCAAGCACAACCGATAACCTTTTCCTTCCCTTGTTCACTTACCCGGCGTTTTTTGAGCAGTAACGGCGGTCTACTCCTTACAAATCTTGAGCACGTGCTTTTTTTAAGAAAACAATTACCTTCATTTCGTTTTTCAAGAAATCTGTGGATTGTGCCGTTTTGTTTCTATTCATCGTGAAGAGAGTAGGAGCCATTTACAAGTGTGCGTCGCAGCTGTTGATTTGCAAGGCGAATGGTAATGAGAAAAAAAAAACGGATCTTTGGTTGTTGTTGTTTTTTCCTCCCTGCTTCCGCTAACAAACCCCACACTTTCCACCTACCTCAGCCACCACCCTCCAATTTAACGTTCAGACGCTGTTCCCACAGTAAAATAGTAGGCTTGTGCACACAGTGAGTCTCTAACGCACTCTTGCCATTTCCTGTACGTTAGCCTGAAAGCTTCCTATCACGAGTGAAACAGCCATACTATATCTTACTTGACTTTGGCTTTGTACTACTTAACTTTTATTATGTCTTGACTTGAATTTAAAATCTTAAGTACTTACAAATTCTGCTGATCTGCTCTGCTACACTTAATATATTATCTACTTCTTCAACTTTTTTGAAGTCTTAGTTGACTAAAACTATGTCCAGGCTGACTGTTATTATGTCCAGGTTGTCTATCATTTGTGTTTGGATTGATTATTATTCTTGTCCAGATTGATTTTCATTAATGTACAGATTGATTATTATCTTGTCCAGATTGATTTTACTCATGTCCAGATTGATTTTAATTCATATCTAGGTCGATCCTTATTCATGTCCAGATCAATCTTTATTATGTCCAGATCGATCTTTATTCATGTCCAGATCAATCTTTATTCATGTCCAGATCAATCTTTATTCATGTCCAGATCAATCTATATTCATGTCCAGATCAATCTTTATTCATGTCCAGCTCGATTTTCATTCATGTCCAGCTCGATTTTCATTCATGTCCAGCTCGATTTTCATTCATGTCCAGCTCGATTTTCATTCATGTCTAGTTCGATTTTCATTCATGTCCAGCTCGATTTTTATTCATGTCCAGATCAATTTTCATTCATATCCAGTTCGATTTTCATTCATGTCTACTCAGATTAACATTCATGTCCACTCTGCCTAAATAAAAGTTCAAACGTCCGCTAGGAGATGAAAAATCCTGTATAAACATCATAATGTTTTTTAAATAAATATAAATCAATGGAATAATTACGAATCAACTATATATTTTTAATTGAGTATTCTAATGAATATATCCAACTAGTAGAAATAAATAAAATTATTCTTAAAATATATTTATTAATATTTGACTAATAAAAAAACTGAAATTAAAAATTTCATTGGTAAAATAAAATGATCATATGATCATTTATTTTATTTTTATTTGTCAATATATATTAACTGGTAGGAAAAATAAAAATATTTGTTTTTATTTTGACATTGGTTGTTATGTTAGATTAATTGTTTGAAAGATCGAGGATCTTAAGTTTTATAAAATATATATGGTAATTACTATAAAAGGAAATATTTCTTTTTATGGAAATAATTGAAAAATAAATAATTAAATAATTTATAATAAAAATTTTATTTACAATAATATTTAGAGGTTTTTGAAATTTAAAATATTGTTATGATGCAATAGATTTAAAAATGATGAATATCATTTCTAAATTATTTCAACAATAAATATCCAATTTCTTTTTTTCTTTTTCTTATTAAAATATTTTCTTTAATACTCTAAACATATTTTACTCAGACCCAAAGGTCTTTAAAGGAAAAAAACAAAATAATATTATTCTGTAATATTCTCAAAAGATTTATATAAAAATTAAAATTAATTAACAACCATTTTAAATTTTTGTTACCAACAAAAAATTTGTTGCCAATAGTTTTTATATAAAAACAGTTGGTAATGAGAAACATAGTACAGACATTGGGTATTTCAAAGTAGTTGCGGGGTTTAAACTTATTAAATATAATTTAAGTTTAAAAGATAAAATGAGATTTTAAGATAATAACAGCTTTAAAACAATAATAATAATTAAAAGATTAATAAAAAATAAATATATTTTAGTATTTAAAATTGTCAAAAAACTTTAAAAATAGAAAAATTAAAGGATAAATTTAAAGTTATATAATATGGAATGTTTCTCAATGCATATGCGCCATGGTAAGCATTATATTGTAAAGAAGCATATTAAAATTTACAAGTTAAAAATTAGAAATATTATATATGATCCTATATTTATTGCATATAAGCGAATTAAATTTAATCATTATAAGAGTTTATTTTAAATAGTGGATCCAATTTTATTTATGAATATAATTAAAAAGATATTTAATGAAAAAGAATATATTGAATATTACCTAGAGTGGGGTATATGCATTACCAACTGTTTTCATATAAAAACTATTATTAACAAAATTTTTGGGGGTAACAAAAATTTAAAATAGTTACAAATTGAATTTTATTTTTATATAAAAATAAATCATTCAAAAGGAAAAAGAAAATGGTTGCTCTCAATGATTCCCTGCCTCTTGATTTTATCAAACTTAGAAATAGTTTGATAGAAAATTTACAGATATTATTAATAGACAATGATATAGAAAAAAATATAATAAAAAAAGTAGAAAAAAGGATAAAGGAAATATTTTTAAATGATCATTTTCTTTATCTTCATATGGACGAGGTATACTGTGTCCATAAAATTAAAAAAGGAAAAAGAGATGGTGAATTCTGTGCCAAAAAAATTAGAACAAATTTATTAAATGGAAAAAAAGATTTTTTATGTTCTAAACATAGTAAAGAACATAAACCAATTTCTAAGAAAATAGAAAAAAATACGGATTGAATATATTATTTAGAGATATAGTAGAAATTTTATAATTTTTTTAAATTTTTTAAGAATACAGATATAAATATTAATCTAATTTTATTTTTTTTATTTTTCTTTCAATAATATCAGTATCTATTTCTTTTCTTTTTTTATTAAGAACTATATTTTTATTATATGATTTAAATTTATAAACTAACTTTTGATTTGACAATATATTTTCTTTTCTTCTATATATAAAAAAGTTGTTATCTTCTTTAATAATTTTATATTCATATATATTATTCTTTTTCATATCCTTAATAATACAGCTTCTTTTTATATTTTGCATTAACTTTTCATCTATCTCATGAAGATATAATATATTCATTTTATTTTATAATAGAGAATTCAATTTTATAATAATCATTTAAAAATGTAATTTATTATTCATTACAATATATATTTCAAATTTTAATTTCAACTGACCTAGCAATAGCTATTTTATTATTCTTTAAAATATTATCAAGCTTTATTACTTTATATTTTTTTAGTACTTTATTAGAAAACTTAATATATTTAAAATACTCTATCCATAAGTTTTTATGCTTATTATTCATTCTCCACTGTTGCTCTAATAAATGTTCAAATAAATATTTTCTAGTCCTATGTTGTGGTATTATGTTCATCTTTAAGCCATTCCAGATACCTTCTATTGTATTAGTATGATTATCAGTACCTTTTATTTTAAAATTTTTTTTATGATTAACTTTATCATGAATATAATTATTATCTTTTAAATCAATATACCCTTTCTAAAAATCTGTTATAATTCTTGTTTCTGGTTTAACATATATTTTTATTTGATATAATAATGTCTCTTTATTACGTTTTTAACAGGAATAGTAAATATTTTTTTTGTACCTCTCTGAATACCACTAAGAACCCATATTCCACTTACATGATGACCTTTATTATACTTTCTTTTACAAAAATACGATTCATCTATCTCAACAGTTTCATTTTTACCACCTAGTAAGTTATTTTTTATATTATCAACTGCATAGATTGAAAGTTGTTCTCTAAATTTTTTATAATAATAAGTTGTTGTAATATGTGTAATACCAACAGTAACAGCAGCACTATCTCGTGATGTTTTTTTTAAAAATTCATATAATAGAAATAAAATTTTATTAATTGGTAACTTTGCATTATAAAATATTGTATCTTGAAAAATTGATAATGATTTCTTACATTGATACCATGAACAATGATATCTTTTCTGTTTATTTTCATAATGTACTTTATTACTACACTTTGGACATTTTTCATATTTTCTTAATATATTCATTTTTAATAGATAATTAATTGCTTCTTCTTCATCTAAAAAATAAGGATATAATTCATATAATGATGGCAATTTTATTGTAGTATATAATTTTTTATTTACCTCTTGTTCATAAAAGTAGTTTTTATTATCTTCTTTTTTTTCTTCTTTATTTTTTTCATTTATTATTTTATGCATAACAATATTATGATGTTTATTTTTATAATTAAAAAAAATTCAATTTTGAAGAAATAAATTTATTAATTAACTTTAGCGGAGTTTTAAATGTCTCTATATTCTTTCTTTAATCCAAAAATACTTCTTACTGCACTGAAATTACATTAAATAAAGAACCATGTAAAAAACCTTGTAAAATTGGTTCTTTATGTATTGTAGTATCGCAGAGCATCGGCTATACTCTGGATACAATGGAAATGAAGTGAGAATAAAGGAAAAAGGCAATTTATGGGCCTTAAATGAGCTATCAAAGCTGATCTGATGAGAAGTAGAAAGAAGAAGTGGGAGTTCAAGATTCGGGAATGTTTACGTCCGAAAGCCACTTAAGAGATTCTTTATTAAGAAGAAGAGTTAAGAAAAAGAGATAAGAGATGAACTGAACTGAAATCGAATGGAAAGAAAGGGGCTATTTATACTAATTGATGTGTCGGTTTCTAGCTATGTGATTCGTGGTTTACTAATGCTAATGCGACAAAAGCTAATGCTAATGTGATAAAAGCTAATGCTAATGTGATAAGAGCTAATGCTAATGTGATAAAAGCAAATACCAAGTTGACATTAGCAAGGAACCAATAAGAGTGCGCGAATTTATGTGGACGAAATCGAGTATGGTGGCAAGAAAGAAATCTTTATTGTAAGCGGGGAATTGTCACTACATAGCCCCCTGGCTTTAGATCCGCACGTCCCGGGCGGCCATGTCTGCGGGCAGACCATCCCCGAGCATCTTGTTATAATAGATGTTTATAAGGGAGAAAAGTGATTCGTCGGTCGAAATAAACGTGTCGTGTATGTGCAAGTGGATATAGCGACGGATAACGCGCTGGCGCGCAGCTTCATCCCGGTAACGCCGGAGGACGGCAGACAAACGGACGGCGATGCGGTGAGCGAGGAGACGGCGGGCAGTAGCCAGCTTTTCCTTGGCTTTGCGGTGGTTGATATGTTGGGCAACGCACTCTTGGGTGAGGTCAAAGAAATATCCCATTTCGACTCGGAGGTCCTTGGATTCTGGATATAAGGGCGGCGGTACAAAGTCGGGGTCGTATAATCGATAAACAAGTTTGCCACCGCTACAGTCAACAAGGCAAGGTGCGGTTGGGTTCGGTTGGTACTTTGGTGGCTCGTCGGCGTGATCTTGGTGAGTATGAATGGGCAACTCGACAGGCTTATCCCATTCCGATATTTGGTCGGGTGTCGGTGCCGATGAAGCAGTTGTCGTTGAGGGGGGAGAGTCGAACAAGGACGATGGGGAATAGGATGGCGAGGGGTAGCTGTTGTAGGGCATGGTCGATTTCGTAAGAAGAAAAGGTTTATTGTGACGATTAGATTAATGAAGACGGATGGTTTGGAGATGTACAGATATTTATATTATTCGGTTTCGATACAATGCGGGTGTCGTGCTTCGTGTTATGGTAGTGTCGGTTTATGCTTGTATAGCGTTAGCATTTGCTATCTCGGACGCAGCTTATGCTATAGTGGAATTAGTTTATGCTACGGTGGAATTAGCTTATGCTAAGGGAGAATCAGCTTATGCCTTGAGCGGCTCTGCGGAGTTTGACGATCCGGGTTGGTTTAATGTTAATGCAGCCGCGCGCGAATGCGGGTAACAGTAGAGCAGTGATCGATACTTGTTCTGTATATTGTGTTGTATATGTTTTGGACATCTTGTGTGTTTCGCTTTTGTAACTGTTCTTTTTTGTGTTTTGTTTTGTGTTTGTTTTTTCTTTTTTTTTTTTTTTTTTTTTTTGAATTGCTTTATTTCAATATTGTGGTGGTGATGGTGGAGCTATTACATGTAATTAAGCGTTCACTATATTACGTCGTGCCCTAGCGGCAGCCGAAAAGGCTTTGGTCAATGCCTTGCGGAACGGGTGCGAAGGATCTAATGCGCCAGTAGGCAAGCCTACGGCCCGGAAGATTGCTGTGAGTCCAGCGTGTCGGGCGTTGTGACGGCGGCATTGTTGATATAATGCGTCTTTGTCAAAGATTTCTTGCACGAGGAGATTAACTACTTCTGCTCGTGTTTCGTGGATTCGTCGCGCCACGCTTTCCCGCTCGAGTTGGTCTCTGACCCGGTCTACCAAAGCTGGGGAGAGTTTCGTCTCGTCGAGTTGCGCGAGGATAGCCAAGATGTCATCGTGGCTGTAGCCTTGGTTTTGGGGTCCTGCAGGCGGCGCGATTTCATCCAGGGACGCGAGGATGTCAGGATGGTTGGGTGTCGACATCGTTTCTTCGGGTTGTTTGTATCGGGAGGTGTATGTCGGTCGAAACGCTACGTTGGGCTGGTATATATACGCATTCGGTTTCCGTGTATCGTGCCTCGTAACATTTTCCCTTCTAGTGTCTTAAGAGTGTATCCGTGTTTTCCGTTGCTGTGGTGCACAATGTAAGGACCATTCCACATGTCTTCCATTTTTGCTGAGAACGACGATTCGATAGCGTTATGATAAACTAGCACTGCGTCCCCAATTTTAAACGGTGGTTGCAGCAGGTGCTTTTTCTTGCCGAGTATTTTCCGATCTAGTGCTTTCTTTTGATTTTGCTGGGATACTTTGATGGTGTCGGCTGCGTTCTGCCGGATGTTCCTGAGAAGTCTGAGATGTGTGTCCATCCAGGTGTCATATTCCTTTTGTGTCCAGGCTGTCACATCTGTGTTGCTTTCTATTTGTGGTACGGATCTGTCGAACGGTGTCCAAGGGTGACGGCCGTATAGTAAGTAGAAGGGTGATGCCTTCGTTGTCGAGTGGATGCGGCTATTGTAACTGAGTACCAGCGAGGGCAGGTACGCGCTCCAGTCTGCTTTTTCTTCGTTAGATAATCGCTTCAATCCTTGTGCTAGGCTGCGGTTCCATCGTTCAATTTTTCCGTTTACGCTAGGTGAGAAAGCGCTCGCCATGCAGTGTTCGATATTGAAGTTGTTACAGATTTCGTCGATGATTTTGTTGTTGACTGGCAATCCTCTGTCGGTGAGTAGTACTTTGATGTGTGAGTGCGTGCAGATGATGTTTTGATATATGAATAGAGCGACCTCTGTGGCATTTGCGAGGCGGACCGGCTTTGCGTTGACGTAGTTCGTCAGATAGTCGATACTTGCAATGACGTATGAGTGACCAGCACGAGATGGTCTGAGGTGTTTGATATCTAGTGCGACCATCGTGAATGGTTCTGGTTCAACGGGTATCGGGTGTAGTAGTTCGATTTTCTCGGGTTTTCCATGTCGTTGACATCGGGAGCATTGTGCTATTGTGAGCTGTATGTCGCGTCGCATTCCTTCCCAGTAATAGCGTTGTGCTATGCGTTGGTATGTTGTGTGTAGCGCATAATGAGCACCGCCGGTAGGATAGAAGTGGTATGTCCAGATAGCATTGTCGGCTTCTTGCTTGTTGAGTACAAGGCGGATACCGGCACCTTGTCGTCGGTAAACGCGGTCGTTGTATACGAGATAATTTTTGCTTTGTGATGCTAGGTATCGTTCCTGTTGCTTTGTGATACCCGGAGGGTATTCTAGCGTGTTGAGATAATGATGTAATAAAGCTAATTTCTTTGTGTCCATTGTGTGTATTGTCAGAGTTGTCAGCATTTGTGAAGTTGTCAGTTGTCAGATGATGGTGTGGTTTGTGTTATAATTAAAAAGGGTAAGTTGTGTTTGGGTAAATGAGAATGTTGTGTTGATCAGCGCGGCAGTTGAATGCGCGAAAATGCATGTAGATAAGAGTAAGAAAATGTGAATAGCGAAAATAAAAGATTATAAGCGAAAGTGTGGATATGTAGAAAGGAGTTGTTTTTTTTTGTGGGGTTATATTGTTTTCTTGTGTTTTGTGTGGGTTTATTGTGTTTTGTTTGTTTAAGTGTAGCAAAAAGTTGTAAATAGGGGGTGCCGGGTTGCGCCGGTAAAAAGAAAAGCGTGTCCTCATGCTTTTAACGACTTCCCGGGTACTGGTCGAAAATAGTAATGACGTTAATATCCTAAGCGACTGAGAAAGTCGGCATTCTTGTTCTCTTTGCCAGGTCGATATTTGACTTCAAAGGAGTACTCGGAGAGTGTGAGCACCCATCGGGCTAAAATGCCGGTTAGGTTTGTTGCGTTTAGTAGTCCCTTTAGACTGGCGTGATCGGTCAGGATGAGAAATTTCTCTTTGGAGCCAAGAAGGTAAGGTCTTAGACGTGTTACGGCGAAAATGACACTGCCGCATTCGAGTTTGCTGGCGGACCATGAGCGTTCATTTGGCTGCAGGCCTTTGCGGAGGTACAGAATGACATGTTCCTTGCCGTCGTCGCCGTATTGGCTAAGGACACAACCATATCCGTGGGAGCTTCCGTCACAGCATAGGACGAATCGTTTGTTATAGTCCGGATAGGCAAGTATGGGGCTTGTACAGAGTGCTTCCTTCAGCGCTTCGAACGCGGTAACCGCGTCCGGGGTCCACTGGAGCTTGATGGTGCCATCTTTTGTCATCTCGTGTAATGGTCGTGCAATTTTGGCAAAGCCTTTTACGAATGACCGGTAATAGGAGGCGCAACCGATGAAACTTTTAAGCATTTTGACGGTTTGAGGCCGTTCGAAGTTAGCGATTTTTTCGACTTTGGCAGGGTCAGTTTGGATTCCTTCTGCTGATACAATGTAGCCGAGGAATTTGAGTTCTTTCTGGAAAAAACTGCACTTTTGAGGGTTGAGGATCAAGCCAGCGCGGCGTAAACAGGAGAATACGTGATGCAGGTTACGGATATGTGATCGCTGATCTTTTTCGTAGCAAATCAAGTCATCG